AACATAGTGTTATGTTCATTTCACTCTAGGTTGTGTAGGGTTCTTTCCTTAGAGGGTACAACATTTCTCTCGATAGTCTTGTATCCCCCTCCCTTACCTAATCGACACTCCTCACCTAGCTAGTGATTCTAACAGGTTTTTCTAGCAATTGGCTTGCCCCACACCGCCACCAGCTGCTGCTGGTGCCACGATACAAATGGTTTAGGATCGGATTGGTTTTTTGGATGTGATGCTCTTCAGTTTGAAGTAAGTTAGCTTGGGTTTAGCATGGTAGCTTGTGGTTGCCAGACTCTTCATTCTTACTATGCACAACATAAGCCATACTACTACGGTACTAGGGAAACCCTATTGGTTGATGGATAGCTGACTAGGGAATTATGATAAGGATGAAAGAAAAGATCACTCGGACCTCTTAAAAGCTGATGTTCGCACAATATGCTACTCTTGGTACACTCAATGAGTTGCCATTGATAATTTCAAATGGGTTACAACTTTAGGTGACTTGCGCTCTTGGGTGAGATAAGTTTCTACAACTGACTTATACGTATGACCGATTCCACAATGGCAAGAATCAGGGTGTATAGAACAGCATTTTTTGTCTTCGCACATGGGCAGGAAGGAAGGTGCGAGCAGTTTCGAGAGAAAAGACGATGCTGCCCAGGGGCGGTAGCAGAAAGTGATTTCAAGTAACGAGTGAAGGCACTCACCTAATGTGGTTCAGTTTTCTGAGCCAAAAGCTACATCTTTGACGAACCTGGACAAGTCCGGTTCCATCTGTACACTCTACTGTGTATATCTGGCCAAATTCAACTGTTCGGGCAGCGGGCAGGCACCTACGTCAACTCATATCTCCATCAGCTTCGCTGCACTGCACACCATTCCTTGCGCAACGTCATCAAATGGTGCAGGCATCAGCGGTGCTCATTTCCCCTAGCAGTTACGATTCCGATGACGTTTGACGTGTAAAGGCGATTGTTGACGCACCTTCCTCGAATTCGTCACCAGGCTCACTTGAGCTGCTGATGTCGTAAGGTTCAGCCGCAACGGTCGCGCAGCGTCGCATAAATGCCCTGCGAACTGACATTCGGAGAAGCTTGACAAGCCTGACCTGACGGAAACGGAAGCGTTACTCACGTAGAGCTGATCTGAGCCGTAGATAACTTACTTCCAAGGGCTTCATCGAGCGGGACAAGGCCACCTTTCGTTCATGGCAGGTTGACACGTGTCGATTTACATATGCACCATAACCTTACCCCGTCGCCCCCCACAAAGCCTATCACCGACCAGATTCCTGGCATGTTGCACTATTCAAGCATGAAGCCCGAATCAATCCGCGACGCGACTGGTCGCCTCCATCTTCGTTTGATCTGCAGTTACCATACACCTTGTTTCTCGATGTTTGGACAATCAGGAGCCCTGGCTACAGTGCGCACGTGTGCTTGGATTCAGCGGGCTGGTGCTTGCAACCAAAATGCACCTGAGGAGAACGGTAGACAACGGTCATGAAAGAAAACGTGCTTTTGCGTTCGGTTTCGTGCGGCAAAAGTGCTTATATGGTATGTTCTGGGACCAATTTGGATGCATTGATGTCAGTACAACCGGGTTGTCAATATGACGAATATCAGTGTGTCACGAAACAAGGTGTACTTTATTTGTCGAATCAGATCAGAGCGCGACGATGGCAGAGCAATTCAGTACAGAACGGAATCTTGTTGGCTGGCCTTGAGTTTCTGATCAGACTTGGTGATTTGTCCCCTTTCCTCACCCATGCCCGCAAAAGCAACCCAGATTCGTTTCACCACTTCAGAAAGTTTAGAGTTGTATTTCTATTCTCGCTTAAAACAAATCACTTCAGAATGTCATCTGGGCATTATGGGCTTAACCAGCAATCCCTTTTGGATAGGCCTTCAGTGTAGTGCAGAAGCTCTTGAACGCGACTGTTTGGGGACCAATTGTCCTATTGAGTCGGATCCACAATTGGGTGGCAACACCGTCAGAGAGTTTGGCAAGAATTAAAGGTATAAAGAAGGGTTGGGGTATGTCTTTAGATTACCTGAAGTTTAGGAAGAAATCATACGAATTAAACTGTACTTTTGAAGGGTTTCACTTCCAAACGCGCAGCCCCCTAGGCGAAGAGCCCGTTTCGCGCTTTCCGTTGGCCGCACTTGCCCCTGACAGCGTGTCCGCTCCCGGAACCCAGCATCCACGGCAAGCTGGATGCCAAAGTCCGCGTGCTGCTGTCTGTCTCCCCCAGATCCTCCCCACCTCACACGGGTGTTTTTCGGCGCCGAGTGATTTTCTAACGCGGAGAGATTTCCCGGCAACGTGAGTGTCCCTCCCTCCCAACCCAATCTCTCCCCATCCCCACACGTCCATAAAGGCAACGTGACGAACATATTCTTCTGTCCACCATTCTAGCAACCAAGCTGCTTCTCCTTTATTGATCGGAGATTCGGAGTTTCTGCCAGGGAGCGCGCCGTAACGACTCAGTTTTTTATTGTGGCTGTACCTCACGCTGCAAGCTGTCGCTTTCAAGCTCAGTTCCTGTTACTGCACCTGGCAAAAGTGCGCTGTAAACGTAACTACTGTTCCTTGAAGCTCAGTTGATTTCGTCCACATTGGATAGCTCTTCAATGGCTTCACAGACCGCCATTGGCGTTAGAAATCACTTACAAGCGCCACCGAACAATGGAATCGACATCACGCCGTCCAACGTGATCCGCAGCACGCTCGCGGTCGAAATGGCGGCGCTGGAAGGCAAGCTGCAGCTGCTGCAGATTCAGCGAGAGCTCTCAGCCGTCCGATGTCAAGGCTTCATCGAGATGATCCAATCCTCGCTGCTCGCCGAACAAAAAGAAGCCGCCGCCAAATCCGCCGTGAAATCCGCTATAAAATCCGGTGCGAGATCCTCTGGCGACGGAGACGCTGACGGCGGCGCTGGCGCTGATCCGAGGTTGACGAGGAACAGCATCGAGCCGCTAGATCGATCGAGGCGCCAATCGCGGCAGCTTTTCCGGCACATGTCGCTCGATGTCCATCCAACGGCCGGCAACCAAACATGGAGAGAAGATCTTAGCTTTTACGACGAACCCACGTCGTGCTCCCCACGCGTTCAGGGTCATGGCGGTAATGCGGCTTCTCACGGTAGTCCTTCCCGGTTGCGCGGCTCCCCGCGACACAGATCCCCCCGCCACGCTGCCGCCGCGCGCGCGGCGCAGGCTGGAGGATCCGCTTCTCCGCGCACTCTTCCGCAAACGTCTGCTCTTCTGCGGCCCGGATCTCCGCTCGTTACTGCGCCGGGCGCGCGTCAGCTTCCGCTCACTCCGCGCACGGCTTCCGCCGCTTCTCCACGAGTTGCTGTGCTTGCGAATTCGCCCCTGCGGAGGCACGTCAGCCTGAGTGCAGGGTTCGAATCCCCGTGCCAATAAATTATATCAACTCCGTTCACGAAGCCTGCAACTTCAGCGAGCAAACTGTTTCGCAGACATGCTGTGTTACTCCGCAACTTCCAGCCTACTCAAAATGTGAGACTCATTACAGTTTGCTGAGCTGCTACTTGCAAGCAAAGCAAATAAAGTTAGTGTTACAACACTCAGCTAGGCTGCCACCTCTTACTGGCACAATGTCAGTACTTTTTAGTGAATTTCTAGAAGGGGTTTGCCAGAGCCGACCCCTCATCACACGGTGTAAGCAACGTGTTTGCTTTTTGTACATAATGGAAATGAGTACCAAATGCTCTGGTTTACATTTGCTTGCTGCTGACATAGTGGATTTTTATAATTAGTTGCAAGACGCACTGCATGCATCTCCTGTCAGATGCAAAAGTTGATGTGCAAATGGTTGAGAGTGATGCAACGTCAATATAATCTTACCCACAATGACTTCAATCAATACGGTACCCTCTGCCTGCTACCATATGCCCTGCACCCTCCCGCAAATTCTCATCCACCACAATTCTCGCTTTCGGTATCCGCCATATCAATTTCTCCTCTCCTCCCCACTGCTCCACACAGATTCCCTCTCCACTCCACTCCACCCTTCAATGGCGTCAATACCCCCCTCTCTGCGCCTCCCTGCTACCACCCGGTAAACCCCTCCACCATGGCTCTCTCCCACCCGCGCCTGTCTTCCCTCCCCTCCTTCACTTGGTAAACCCCTCCTCCCCACCACGGCTCTGTCCCCCTCTTCAGATACCCACTGGTATGCCAAAAGGTTCCCCAACCGCGCCTCCTTACACACTCTCGGTCCACCTGCAGCAGCCTCAGTAACCCCCTCCAGGAGATTCTAGGCTAGCAGATTTTCCTCCCACCCGCGCCTCCTTACACACTCTCACTCCACCTGCAGCATTCTCAGGAACCTCTGTCTTCCCTCCCCTCCTTCACTTGATAAACCTCCTCCTATGGCTGGCAACACTATGGCTCACTCCTCCTCACACACCCACTCGCTAAATCTGAGTCGCTTATGAGAGTTGTCAAAAGTCCTTCACTTGATAAACCCGTCCACTATTGCTCGCTCCTCCTCACACACGCACTGGTAGCCCAGCAGATTCTCCTCCCACCTGCTGCACGGCTGCCCCCCAGAATCCACCCACTGCAGCATGGCTGGCAGTCTGTGCCCTTGGGAGAATGCCTCAGCCTCTCTCACACTCCTCCCACCCCCTCCACGGTTCCTCCCCAGCATCCACCCACTGCACTGCAGCATGGGTGGCAGTCTGTGCCCTTGGGATGGGAGAGTGCCTCTGCTCTCCCACACACTCCTCCCACCCCCTCCACGGCTCTCCCTCACCGTCCACCCACTGCACTGCAGCATGGTTGGCAGCACTCTCTGCTGGCAGAATGCCTCTACTCTCACAGTAGCCCCTCTGTCAGCCCTGCCCTGCTTTCACTTGGTATGCCCCTCTACCACTTCCCTCTCCTCCTCCTCACACACCCACTGGTAGCCCAGCAGATTCTCCTCCCACCCACTCCACTCCACAGCTCCCCTTCCACCCTCCAGCGACCTCAGTAGCCCCTCTCTGCCCTGCCTTGCATCCACTGGGAATACCCCTCTACAACTTCCCTCTCCTCCTCCTCCGATACCCACTCATAGGCTAGCAGATTCTCCTCCCACCCGCTCCACGGCTCCCCCTCAGCATGCAACCACTGCAGCATGGCTGGCAACACGTGCTCTTGGGAAAATTCCTCTACTCTCTCGCACACAGCTCGTGACATGCGGAGCGATGGGGGGGGGGATGGGGAGGAGGATTGCGGGGAGGGAGAGGAGGAAGGTGGGGAGGAGAGAGGGGACACGCTGAGGGCTGGTTGAGATGTGCCAAGTGGCGAGAAGGCAGAGTGCCACTGCGTGTATAGCCTTAGTGCTTCCTGCTGCTGCTGCTGCTTGAAACGGTCTGTAGATTCAGCTTCTAGAGGAGCGCTGGACTGAGGAACCTCAAGTTCAGCAGCAGAGGAGGAGGATTTGTTTCCGGGCAGCTTCGGTGCTCGGAACGGCATGAAGGAGCAGTCGGCCAATAGGAGGCCTTGGGGTGGAGCGAGGGGCAGCACGATGCGGGAGTGGCGGGCAAGGGAGGGCAGCAGCATGGACGAGGGGATGGCTCCGTGGAGGATTGCTAAGGCTGTTCCCACCATTTTGCGGATCTGAGGGGCCAGGGGCAACAGCATGGGGGAGGCAAGAGGCAGAAGGGTGTTGGAGGGGGGAGCGGGGAGCAAGGCGGCGAGGGAGGGCAGCAGCACGGAAGAAGGGATGGCTCCGTGGAGCACTGCCAAGGCTGTTCCCACCAAAAAAAAGGTGGGGGAGATTTTTTTCTTTCCTTCTTTAAGTCGACTCAAAAATCGACTTCTCACACGGGGTTTGGGGAGGAGAAAAGAAGGGAAAAGAGAGGGCGGGGGGAGAGGAGGAGAAGTGGTGAGTTGCATGGAGCACGGAGGAGTGGAATAACTAAAGTGTCTCGTTCCTGAGAAGTGGTGAGTCGACACAAAAGTCAACATGCACCCTCCCCTCGACTCAACCAACAGGACATCCTCAACTCAACCTTGCCGTATCACAAGCCCCCAGTTTCCCCTCCCCCCTCCACCCCTCACCTGGTGAAGCTGAAACGACTCTCCTCGAATCACAACCCAAATCAATTTGGCCGCTACTGCCGTATCACTCCCCTATACTCCCCTCAGATCCCCCCCTTCAGTCCCCCCTCCCCCCCCCCCTCACCTGGTGAAGCATGAACGACTCTCCTCGAATCACAACCCAAACCAATCTTGGCCGCTACTGCCGTAACACACCCCATCAGCCCCCCCCTTCCCTTTTCCTCATCCCCCACCCTCACCTGGTGAAGCATGAACGACTCTCCTCGAATCACAACCCGAACGAACCTCCGCCGCTCCTGCCGTCCCACACCCCTCCCTCCTTCCGCCTCTTCTCCCTCCAATCTGCTCCCCTCCTCAAGTCTGCTGCTCCCCTCCACACTGCTACCATCAAACGCACCCTCTTCTAATCTGCCCCCAGCAAGGCTGCTCCCATCAAACACGCCCCCTTCAATCCACGGCAACACCGTGCAAGTCTCGATGGTTCTGAAATGTGCCGTACTGATCTTGTCGCTCTTATCTGTCTCATGAAGCCACACCGCCTTCCTTCCCGCCCTCTGCAATCCCCCTGCTGTATCCGCCCCCTCCTTCTCCTGCTCCCCTACACACCCTGCACCATCCGCATGTGCCGTACTGATCTTGTCACTCTTATCCGTCTCATGCAACCACACCGCCTTCCTCCCCGCCCTCTCCGCCCTCTCCGCCCTCTCCGCCCTCTCTGCCCTGTCCGCCCTGTCCGCCCTCTCTGCCCTGTCCGCCCTCTCCGCCCTCTCCGCCCTCTCCGCCCTGTCCGCCCTCTCCGCCCTCTCTGCCCTGTCCTCCTCCTCCCCCTCTTGGTCCCCTGCACCTCCGACCCTATCTACTCCCTCCCACTCTCGTCCCCCTCGTTCGTCTCCCGAGCTACTGCTCATCTCGCTTGCAACCTCCTCGATTTGAACCCTCTCAACCATCTCAGCCTCTTTCTCATCCCCTCTCTCAGCCTCTTTTTCAAACGTCATCACTGCTCCGTCTCCCACTCTCTCGCTTAACTCTCCGCCTGTCATCTCTGCCCCACCACTTATCACCTTTGCTTCTTCCTTTCCTTCGCCCCTTTCACTCTCCCTGCCTCTTCCCCATGCCCCTCCGCTCCTCAACCTCCTGTCGCCACCATTCCCCCTCTCTCCACCATCCCCTCTGTCTCCCTCCTCCTCCCCTTCTCCCCCTTCCCTCTTCTGCTTCTCGCGATACAGCCGCCGCACAGTGTAGTTGTGGAACGCGTGCTTGCCCTGGCGGGGAAGGAGGGATAGGGACGGCAAATGCAGATGGGAGAGAGCCAGTAAAGCACCCTCCTCCCCTTAATCCCTCTTCTGCTTCTCGCGATACAGCCGCCGCACCGTGTAGTTGTGGAACGCGTGCTTGCCCTGGCGGGGAAGGAGGGATAGGGACGGCAAATGCAGATGGGAGAGAGCCAGTAAAGCACCCTCCTCCCCTTAATCCCTCTTCTGCTTCTCGCGATACAGCCGCCGCACCGTGTAGTTGTGGAACGCGTGCTTGCCCTGGCGGGGAAGGAGGGATAGGGACGGCAAATGCAGATGGGAGAGAGCCAGTAAAGCACCCTCCTCCCCTTAATCCCTCTTCTGCTTCTCGCGATACAGCCGCCGCACCGTGTAGTTGCGGAACGCGTGCTTGCCCTGGCGGGGAAGGAGGGATAGGGACGGCAAATGCAGATGGGAGAGAGCCAGTAAAGCACCCTCTTCCCCTTAATCCCTCTTCTGCTTCTCGCGATACAGCCGCCGCACCGTGTAGTTGTGAAACGCGTGCTTGCCCTGGGGATGGCAAGGGGAGGAAATGCAATGGATCAAGGAAGGAAACACAATCTTGATCCTGGGTAAAATCAGCCTCCTCTCACTCCTCCTCCCCTTCCTCCCCTCATTCCTCCTATGAGTCTCACGATACAGCCACCTCACCACGTAGTTGCGAAAGGCGTGCTTGCCCTTGTTGGGAGACGAGGGTTGGGGGAGAGAAATGCAGAGGAACATGGAAATGCAGAGGAACATGGAAATGCAGAGGAACATGGAAATGCAGAGGAACATGGAAATGCAGAGGAACATGGAAATGCAGAGGAACATGGAAATGCAGAGGAACATGGAAATGCAGAGGAACATGGAAATGCAGAGGAACATGGAAATGCAGAGGAACATGGAAATGCAGAGGAACATGGAAATGCAGAGGAACATGGAAATGCAGAGGAACATGGAAATGCAGAGGAACATGGAAATGCAGAGGAACATGGAAATGCAGAGGAACATGGAAATGCAGAGGAACATGGAAACACAATAGTGATACTGGTGCGACTTTTGAGCTTTCTCAAAAGTCGCACCAATATACATGGAAACCCAATAGTGATACTCGGTAAGAAGAATAGCCTGCTGCTTCCTCCCCCCCGTCCTCCCCCCTTTCCTCCCCCCCTTCCTCCCCCCTTCCTCCCCGCCTTCCTGCCCCCTTCCTCCCCGCCTTCCTGCCCCCCTTCCTCCCCTTCCCTCTTCTTCTTCTCATGATACAGCCGCTTCGATAGTGTAGTTGTGAAAAGCAGTTTGCATTCGTGGAAACTGCTTGTCACCTTCACCACCTCTCATTATAGTCACCTCGAATGTGTTGAGTATCTGCTGAAACTCCTTCAATCGACTCCTGCATAGAGGCGAGTTCTGAGGCGCCTCAAAACAGAGTCAATCGTTATACTCACCTCGAATGTGTTGAGTATTTTCTGAAACTCCTTCAGTCGCCTCCTCAACTCCTCCTCCTCGTCCTCCTCATGCTTCCCCCCCACCCCTCCCAGTCCCCCCCTTCTCCTGCTGCTCCTAGGCAGCAGCAAATCAGCAGGGAGTAAGTAGTGGTAGGTGCGGCTCATACACGCCCTTCTGGCCGAGAAGCTCCTGCAGAGAGGGGAGAAGGGGGAGCAAGAAGGAGAAAATCAGGAATCTTCAATCTCCTTCTACTGCTGCTGCTCCTCGGCAGCATCAGGTCAGCAGGGATCAAGTAGCGGTAGGTGCGGCTCATACACGCCCTTCTGGCCGAGAAGCTCCTGTAGGGAGGGAAGTCGGATGCATGACAACGGAAAAAAGAAAAGGGAAACTTCAGTCTCATCCCCCCCTCTTCTCCCACCCCCTTTTCCAGTCCTCCACTCCTCCTGCAAGTAGTGGTAGGTGGGGCTCACACACGCCCTTCTGGCCAAGAAGCTCCTGCATGGAGGGGGAGATGGCCACAGGTGAGCACGACAGCAGGTGAGCACGACAGCAGGTGAGCATGAGAGCAGGTGAGCATGACAGCAGGTGAGCACGACAGCAGGTGAGCACGACAGCAGGTGAGCATGACAGCAGGTGAGCACGACAGCAGGTGAGCACGACAGCAGGTGAGCATGACAGCAGGTGAGCATGACAGCAGGTGAGCACGACAGCAGGTGAGCATGACAGCAGGTGAGCATGACAGCAGGTGAGCATGACAGCAGGTGAGCATGACAGCAGGTGAGCATGACAGCAGGTGAGCATGACAGCAGGTGAGCATGACAGCAGGTGAGCATGACAGCAGGTGAGCATGACAGCAGGTGAGCATGACAGCAGGTGAGCATGGCAGCAGGTGAGCATGACAGCAGGTGAGCATGACAGCAGGTGAGCATGACAGCAGGTGAGCATGACAGCAGGTGAGCACGACAGCAGGTGAGCACGACAGCAGGTGAGCATGACAGCAGGTGAGCACGACAGCAGGTGAGCACGACAGCAGGTGAGCATGACAGCAGGTGAGCACGACAGCAGGTGAGCACGACAGCAGGTGAGCATGACAGCAGGTGAGCATGACAGCAGGTGAGCATGACAGCAGGTGAGCATGACAGCAGGTGAGCATGACAGCAGGTGAGCATGACAGCAGGTGAGCATGACAGCAGGTGAGCATGACAGCAGGTGAGCATGACAGCAGGTGAGCATGACAGCAGGTGAGCATGACAGCAGGTGAGCATGACAGCAGGTGAGCATGACAGCAGGTGAGCATGACAGCAGGTGAGCATGACAGCAGGTGAGCATGACAGCAGGTGAGCATGACAGCAGGTGAGCATGACAGCAGGTGAGCATGACAGCAGGTGAGCATGACAGCAGGTGAGCATGACAGCAGGTGAGCATGACAGCAGGTGAGCATGACAGCAGGTGAGCATGACAGCAGGTGAGCATGACAGCAGGTGAGCATGACAGCAGGTGAGCATGACAGCAGGTGAGCATGACAGCAGGTGAGCATGACAGCAGGTGAGCATGACAGCAGGTGAGCATGGCAGCAGGTGAGCATGACAGCAGGTGAGCATGACAGCAGGTGAGCATGACAGCAGGTGAGCATGACAGCAGGTGAGCACGACAGCAGGTGAGCATGACAGCAGGTGAGCATGACAGCAGGTGAGCATGACAGCAGGTGAGCATGACAGCAGGTGAGCATGACAGCAGGTGAGCATGACAGCAGGTGAGCATGACAGCAGGTGAGCATGACAGCAGGTGAGCATGACAGCAGGTGAGCATGACAGCAGGTGAGCATGACAGCAGGTGAGCACGACAGCAGGTGAGCACGACAGCAGGTGAGCATGACAGCAGGTGAGCATGACAGCAGGTGAGCATGACAGCAGGTGAGCATGACAGCAGGTGAGCATGACAGCAGGTGAGCATGACAGCAGGTGAGCATGACAGCAGGTGAGCATGACAGCAGGTGAGCATGACAGCAGGTGAGCATGGCAGCAGGTGAGCATGACAGCAGGTGAGCATGACAGCAGGTGAGCATGACAGCAGGTGAGCATGACAGCAGGTGAGCACGACAGCAGGTGAGCACGACAGCAGGTGAGCATGACAGCAGGTGAGCATGACAGCAGGTGAGCATGACAGCAGGTGAGCATGACAGCAGGTGAGCATGACAGCAGGTGAGCATGAGAGCAGGTGAGCATGACAGCAGGTGAGCATGACAGCAGGTGAGCATGAGAGCAGGTGAGCACGGCAGTGGTAGGAGGTGCGGCTCACTCACACACACCCTCCTGCCTTAGAGGCTACAGCAGCAAAGCAGGAGAGGGAGATAGAACAAGGCACCCACTTGGACACTGCCAAGCCTTCCTGCTCCTCCTGCTGCTACTGCTGGTGCCCTCGCCCCTCTTCTAGTGAACACAGGAGTGACTGAGCGGGTTGCGAGAAGAGAAGGAACAGTGAGAAGAGAACAAGGTACTCACTTGGTCACTGCCATGCCTTCCTGCTCCTCCTGCACCCTCCTGAATGAGCGGCACTCACTTGGTGACGGGTACGGCGCCAAACACACGGATGGAGGGGGGCAGATGGGCGTGATGGCATTAGCTGCTGCTGCTGCTTCTCTCACCTCATTGCCGTGAACACAAACGCGGAGGACCGGGTGGGTGGGAGAAGCGAAGGAGAGGAGAGGAGAGCACAAGGCACTCACTTGGTGACGGGTACGGCGCCAAACACACGGATGGAGGGGGGCAGATGCGCATTGATGGCGTCAGCTACCGCTTGCCCTTCCCGCTCCTCCTCCTGGCGGTCTTGCCCCTTGTGAAAGAGGCTCTCTGGTAGTTCTAGTTTCACAGACACAACAGTTGCCACTGAGTGCACCTGAGGGGGAGGGAGAGAGCAGCAGGGGCAGACAGGGCCGTTGGGACATTAGTCACAGCTACTGCCAAGCCTGGCCGTTCCGCCTACCCACTCCTCCTGCTCCTCCTCCTGCTCCTCCTCCTGCTCCTCCTCCTGCTCCTCCTCCTGCTCCTCCTCCTGCGGGTGACCTTGCCTGCCCCTTCTTGAAAGGACTCTCTGGGACTCTCGGTCTGGCCTTGCCCCTTGTGGAAAAGACCCTCTGGCAGCTCGAGCTTCACCGACACCACCGTTGCCACTGAATGCACCTGGGGAGGGGAGAGGAGTGGGGAGAGGTAGGGAGCGGAGGAGGAGGAGAGAGGAGTGAGTGACGGAGTGGAGTGGTTGACTCGATGCTTCGCGTACCTATTACACTACCTACTGCACTGCACTGCACCGCACTCGACCCCTTATCCGTCCTGCTGTTCCTGCACCTCCCATTCTTGGCCAGAGTTTGCCTATTGCACTACCTACTATACTGCAGCACACTACCAGCAGCAACGCACCGCACCACACTTCACCGCATCTCGTCTCGCTGCACCGCACTCGCCCCTTTGTCCGTCCTGCTACTCCGGCTCCACCCAATCTTGGCCAGAATGCTAGGTTTACCTGTTACACTATCTACTGCACCGCACTGCACCGCACCAAACTCCACTCACCCCTTTGTCCGTCTTGGCCAGATAGCATACCTATTACAGTATCTATGCATGCACAGCACCACCCCGCACCGCACTGCACTGCATCGCACTCCACTCACCCCTTTGTCCGTCCTGCTGCTACGGCTCCACCCGATCTTGAACAGATCCCCGAAGTTGCTAGGAAGTATCATGCCCGCCGCCAGTAAAGCCTGCTCCAGATAACCCTCCACCGCTGGACAGAGAAAAGGGAGGGGAATGGACGGTCAGGGAGGGGAGGAATGGGGAAATGGTAGAATGGACAGACAGGGAGGGGAAGAATGGGGAAATGATAGGCGCTAGGCAGAGGAAGGGGGGGGTGTTGGGCGGTGGGGAAGCATCATGCCCGTCGCCAGTAAAGCCTGCTCCAGATAACCCTCCACCGCTGGAAGGGGTGAGTGAAGCAGTGGCATAAGGGGAAAAGGAGCAGCAGCGAAAGGTGGTAGAAAATGGGCGATGGGTGGTGGGGGATGGGATGCATCACTTGCGCATGCGTTTTTGAGACATTATACTTTTCAGATATTCACAAAGGTGACTCCAACATTTCACCAGGTGGTGGGATGAGAAGGGAGGGTATGCCTGTATCTCTTTTACGACTTCACCTAAAAAATATCATGACGCAGTGTTGGGTTTGAAGTGCGGGAAAGCCGATACGAGCCGGAAGAATTGCCTCTTGAGTCCTCTTTGTTACTGACCCTCTCATAGGAGAAAGAGGGGAGGAAGAGGTGAAGGGTTGGCTTTACTTACTGACCCTCTCATAGTCCTCTTTAAGTGCTGCACAGTGAAGCATAGGCATGTGAAGTGGATATCATGAGAACATATCATCAGAGGCACTCCTGAATTTCGCCAACACATCCCCTTTGACTCCTCGTATCACAGTCACTATCATCAGAGGCGTGCAATCTGAAGGGAGCTCTCACTTGGGACGGATTCAGTTGAGGGGGTGCTGGAAGAGCCGCTGCTACCGCCACTGCCGCTGCTGCCGCTGCTGCTGCCGCTGCTGCTGCCGCTGCTGCTGCTGCTGCTGCTGCTGCTGCTGCTGCTGCTGCTGCTGCTGCTGCTGCTGCTGCTGCTGCTGCTGCTGCTGCTGCTGCTGCTGCTGCTGCTGCTGCTGCTGCTGCTGCTGCTGCTGCTGCTGCTGCTGCTGCTGGTTTCCCCTTCGCTACTGTCACAGTCCTTGTAGTCACTCTCATCAGAGACGTCTGAAGGGAGAGGCACCGGGCTTGCTCGCTGAATCTGCAGGCCTGTGTGGCGAGGAGAAAGAAGGGAGAGGGAGGAGCAGGGGTTGGGATAAGGAAGTCAGGGCAGTGGTTAGGAGCAGTGTTGCCGTTACTGTCACAGTCCCCATAGACGCTCTCATTAGAGGCGTCTGAGGGGAGCGGCACTGGGCTTGCTCTCTGAATCTGCAGGCCTGTGGCAGGAGAGACCGAGGGGAGGGAGAGCAGCGGAGGTTGGGATAGGAGAGGAGCAGTGTTGCCGTTACTGTCACTATCACAGACGTCTGAGGGGAGCGGCACCGGGATTGCTCGCTGAATCTGCAGGCCTGTGGTGGGGAGACGAAGGGAGAGGGAGGAGCAGGTGTTAGGATAAGAAAGTTAGGGCAGTGGTTAAGAGCAGTGTTGCCGCCGTTACTGTCACAGTCATCATAGTCACTCTCACTATCATCAAAGGCATCTCAAGGGAGTGGCACCGGGATTGCTCTCTGAATCTGCAGCCCTGTGGGGGGATAGAGAGAGAGGAGCAGAGGGATTCGGATAAGCGTGTGGGATGAAGATGGTAGGACGGGAATGAAGCAAGAGGGACGGACGGATGTCTCTCAGACCCAGCCAAACCCCTCTGAACCTCCCTACTTTTGCGCCGCTCGCACCTGTGTGAAAAATGTCAGCGTTTAAAATGTAGAAAGGTTATGAGTCGGCTTTGTGACGTTCAGAAGTCAACTCACCCTTAGTCCCGGTGGTACCCTCGCACCCAAACCCCACCACCAGCTGCTGCTGCTGCTGCTGCTGCTGCTGCTGCTGCTTCTTCTTCTGTGAACCCCCAGGCAAACGTTTGAGGCACCTCAAAAGTCCCCTGTTACTCAGATTCCCAGCTGCTGCTGTAAATCCCAAGGCACACCCCGCCATAACCTCCTCTTTGTTTGACTTCATCCAACCGCTCCAAATGCCTTTGAACCCCGCCATACCTCAACTCCATCATATCGCACCCTGTCCAAACACTTGCGGCTAAAAACCCTCTTAACCCTTGAATCCCAGCCGTACCTCTGACGTATCTCACCCAAACAGATAAAATTTCCCCACCCCCTCCCCTCACCCCCTCCCCCTTTTCCCCTGGTTTCCAAACACAGATCCCCACTTACATATGACCTCCGTCCCAATGTATTTCACCCAGATTTTTTTTCCATCTCAGCAACGAGTTCTGCTTCACACCAGGTGTAATATAATGGCGGACAGCCTCACAGCCTCTTCACAGTCCTTTAACCTCTTCTTTAACCCTACTCCCCGGGCCTACATTTGAACTCCGTCCCAACGTATCCCACCCAGAGAGCCACCCGCCGCTTTCGCCACACCTAAATTACTTGGTGTCGCCCTCTCGTAAGCCCAAACCCTAAACCCTTTCTCTGGGTTCTTCCTCTTGGACCTCAAACCCCAAAACCCCAGCCTTACCTTTGAACTCCGTCCCAACGTATCCCACCCAAAGCGCCACTCGCCGCTTCCGAATCTTCCCGCCACCGGACGAATCTCCCTCTCCAACCACCGCCTGACACGTGTCCAAGGGTGGTTTGACGTCGGGATGACGTGTCACCGTTCCAGGGCCTGCCTCATGGGCCTCCTCACTAATAGCGGATCTTGCAGCGGCTCGGGTTATTTCACTAGCAGCCGTGCCACGTGGCACAACTTTTCGTGATTTACGGGAAATCTGTCTGAACTGGTATCCTCTATCCCAGCTGCTTCGAAAAACGCGATTCGAAACAGAGTTTTGGACTAAGGCTCTAGGATCTATGTGAGAATTAATCTCCTTCAAGGGACTAACCACTACATGCGCTGCGCGGGCGCAGCATTGATCAGGATGTAACACCTGCGCTCCGAGCAGGAAACGCATGGCTTTAGGAGCGACAGGAGTAACAGGAGTAACAGGAGGGAAGATGCTCTGGCGAGCAATCAAATGGGATTGCGAATGAGAGGTGAGGGATGTTTGACGCGCTTCGAGAACGGTTCTTAGAGGAACGAGCTGGCGTGCGATCATGCGGGAGTGGGAGACGATGGGTAGCATTCGGGTGATTCTAACGGGAAGCGCGGCCGGCAGGGCCAAGTATATGAAGTGACTCTATAGCCAACCTCGCGATCAGGCGAGAGTGAGAGGCGAAGTATGACATTCGCGTGGTTGATGGCCACGCCTCTAAAAGGGCCAATTGATGGCTAACACGAGCGAGTTGCAGGAACGAGCTACCAATGCGAGCCCAGACCGCCCCTGGTTCACCAGGTTCGTAGCCTGCCGAGTTGGGGATAAATCTGGCGGCGAGAATTGCGGCGCGGAGGCGTTGGGTTGGGTTGCGAGCGAACGGAGGACTGACAGGGAGTGGTAGGACACTTATGTTGTGAGTGAACTGAATCATTTAGAGCATCTCCAATCTTAATATATCGTCATTCAGATTTAGGGAACACCTTATTGATACATAGATGTGTAATAATATATTATAATAAGATTAAAATCATTAAAAACACCTGAAATATATGTATTTTTCAAAATTAAACATTCTCTAAATAAATTTATCTTCTTATCAAGTTGTAATATGATCGTTCGCTTTTTATGCTTCTTGATGTTGTGTTACAAAAGAAACGTTACGCTACAACGTAAAATTTGCGAGTCGGCGATGAGTCTCATGGCCCGTATGCTCTTCTGCGCGCGGGGCACATCCATTTTCCTCGATACATGCTTCTAGCATCCATTTCTCGAGCTGCCTAATTGGTGCTGCTCAGAATCGCCTATTCACCTGTAGACTCCTCCACGCACACCCGTAACCATAGTAGTCATAGTAGGTCGGAGACGTCTTTAGTCATCCGTCACGGGAGTCTCAGTCGTAGATCACGGGTCTTAGATCACGAGCCGTAGATCACGGGCTGTAGATCACGGGTTTAAAGCCATGGCGGACGAGGAGGCGAACCGGCAAGCGCAGGCGGAGGAAATGGAGGCACTGGAGGCCATCTACGGTTCAGATTGCTTCTCGTACTCGAGTGCCGAGCACTGCTGCAGAGTGAGCAGATCGCGTCGCTAACAGATCGCGTCGCTAATATAACGCGTCGCGAGCACGCCGTCAGAGACGAATCTTAGCGGATCACCGTCTGCATCTCAAATTTCCGAACTTATTGGCTCGACTCGTCGGCTCGCGCGCCATCTGCAGAGCCGAGCCCGTCGCCGAGCGCTGTGAGCTCGGTCCTGAACCGATCCGAGCCAAGCCTAGCCGAGCCGAGCCGAACCGAACCGAGCCAAGCCGAGCCGAGCCGAGCCGACCGACCCGAGCCGATCCAAGCCAAGCCAAGCCGAGCCGAGCCGCGCTTGACGAACTGGAGTGGCTCAGCGGCGTAAAATTTCTCAAAAATCGAATCTGCGCGGATCTAACGTCCGCTAATGCCCTGAGAATGCCGCATTCTCATTCGTTCTGAGAGGTCTGGCTCGTCGCGTTTTGAGACGTCTTTTGAGTAATTTTTAGGCGCCTCGAAAATCTTTGTTAGGCGTCTCATGATTGTTTAGGCGCCTCAAAAGTCTTAAATGCCGCGCGCAGGTCCGGCTCATCGCGTTTTTTCTAAAATTCAAAAAAATAAAAAGAAAAGGAAACAACAACAACACATTCGGCATACGTCGCCGGTCGCGACTCGCCCTGATTCGTTGCGACTCGCCCCGACCCGTCCCCGACCCGTCCCCGACTCGTCGCCAGCTGCCTGCTTGCGCGTTCCCCTTTTTCTCCCCTAAACCCCGCCCCCCTCCTCCTGACAACTCTCCATCCCTCCTCTCACTCACTCTCCTCTCCTGTCTCCGTTTCATCCCCTTAACCAATCGATAACCATCCAACACTTGATTCAGTCACATTCTTAGACAGTCACACCCACCCCTTCCCCTCACCTTCCTCACTCTCCTAGTGATTCTCCCGCACTCTCCTCGTGAATCACCCCACCTTGTCTCTTCCCCCTTCCCCTTCCCCCTTCCCTTCTCTCTTCCCCCTTCCCTTCTCTCTTCTCCATCCCCTTCTCTCTTCCCCCTTGCCTTCTCTCCGTCCCCAATTAAATAACCATTCAACACCCCGATTCAGTCACATCCTTGGGCAGTCACACCCACCACTACCCCTCCCCCTCCCTCACCCTCCTCCTGCACCTCCATGCCTTGTCCATTCCGTCTCCCCCCATTCCATCCTTCCTCCCCAAAACAGATAACCATCCAACACCCCGATTCAGTCACATCTCTGGACAGTCACACCCACCACCAACCCCCCTCTTTCACTCTCCTCGTCCACCTCCCGGCCGCCTACCCCTCCCACGCCGCCCCCGTTGCTGAGCTGGCGCGCTGCGATTGGCTCTCGGACGAAGAGAGAAGCAGGCTGTGCTGCCAGCTGGACAGGATGGGGGGAGGGGGAGGAGGAGGGGGAGGGGAAGGGGAAGGGGCACATGAGGGGGAGGCAAGTGGAGAGGTGGTGATTTTCCAATGGGTGGAATGGATTAAGGTGGGTAATGTACGCGATTACCCTCCCAATCCGCATTACAGTCACAATAGGTAGGCTGCATTACAGTCACAGCTCAGCTCACCATCCCATGCTTTGGAGGCGCCTCAGACGCGTTTTTGGAGTATTCACAACACCCCCTTTCAACAATATAGTAGTCACAGCTCCGCCCCGCATCCGATGCATCACAGTCCCTGCCTGCCTTTCTCTCTTCCCTCTCCCCATCCCTCCCAGTCCCCATGCCTCCCAGTCCCCATGCCTCCCAGTCCCCATGCCTCCCAGTCCCCATCCCTCCCAGCCCCCATGCCTCCCCATGCCTCCCCATGCCTCCCCACTCCCTCTCGTGTGTGCAGGAGCAGCAGTGGGTGTGGCAGCACGCTCCGGTGTTGGCAGAGCAGCAGCAGACGGAGAGACAGGAGAGAGAACCTGCCCAATCACCCACAAACACTCCCAATCTCTCCCAACCACTCCCAACCACTCCTTACCATCCGTCTCATGCGCGCAGGAGCAGCAGTGGGTGTGGCAGCACGCTCCTGTGTTGGCAGAGCAGCAGGAGACGGAGAGAGAGGAGAACGGCAGAGGGGAGGGCAGGGAGGCAACAGGGGAGACAGAAAGAGGTGCAGCAGTGGAAGCAGCTGCGGCGGCAGAGGCAACAGCAAGGAGAGGAGGAGGCAGAAGAGGGGAGGAGGGGAAGGTGGGGGAGAGTGGTGAGGAGGAGGCAGGGGAGATAGAGAGGGCTGTTGGCATTGTGCATGGCGTTCCTTTCACTGAGAAGAGAAGTGAGTGAGTGAGTGTGAGTGTGAGTGAGTGGCACCATTAGAGTTGATTCCCTTCACAAGTCGTCTGGTAGAGGGTGCTGGGTATCGTGCATGCATAGTGTCATTTGAAGCACCTCAGCTCAACAGGCGGGGGATGTAGGGAGGGCGCTGGGCATTGTGCATGGAGGAGCGCTGTTGACATCATCTCACCTCCGTTGAGAGGGGGATGTAAGGAGGGCGCTGGGCATTGTGCATGTGGTTCCACTCGCTCAGAAGAGAAGTGAGTGAGTGAGAATGTGTGAGTGAGTGAGTGAGAGAGTGAGTGAGAGTGTGAGTGAGTGAGTGAATGAGAGTGAGTGAGTGAGTGAGTAAGAGTATGAGTGATTGAGTGAGTGAGCGAGAGTATGAGTGATTGAGTGGGAGTGTGGGACATCAAGTTCACTGCCTCACTCACATGCCCTCCTTTCCCCATGACCGCACCTTCCAGGTACTTTCCAGGCCCACCTGGCACCTGTGGGCTCGCCTGCTGACGTGGCAGCGGTGATGGACGTCCTCTTGGCCAATCGCAAGATAGCAGGCGCCACGCACAACATCATGGCCTATCGGATCGTGACAGCTGGTGCAAATGGAAGCACTGTGAGTGCGGGACATTGGGGAAAAGGGGGGTGGGGGATGGGGGGAGAGAGAGGGGAGGGTAGGGGGGGAAAGGGAGAGGGGGGTGTTACTTCTGAGTATTCTCAAGAGCCGCGCATGGCATCATGGCCTATAGGATTGTGACAGCTGGCTCAAATGGCAGCACTGTGAGTGCCGTGCGTTTGGGAGGGGAGGGGGTGGGGGGAAGGGGGGAAGAGAGGGCTGGGGGAAGGGAGGGGGAAGGGGAGGAGGGAGGGGGAGGGGGAGGGGGAGGGGGAGGGGGAGGGGGAGGGGGAGGGGGAGGGGGAGGGATCTTTAGGATTCTCAAGAGCCACCATCACAGCAGCATGGCCTATCGGGTCATTTAGATAATGGCCCTCTCACTCCCTCTCACTCCCTCTCACTCCCTCTCACTCCCTCTCACTCCCTCTCACGCCCTCTCACTCCCTCTCACGCCCTCTTCCTCCCTCTTACTCCCTCTTATCCCCCCCAGCAGGTCATTCAGGGCAATGACAACGATGGGGAGGCAGCAGCAGGGAGCAGGGTGATAGGGAGTGAGGCGAAGGGGAAATCCTGCAGGAGAGTCACTAGCCTCTGTTTGACTTGACTCTGTTTGTTCCTCCTTGACTTTTGAGTCGACTCAAAAGTCAACTCGGAAATCCTGCAGGAGAGTCACTAGCCTCTGTTTGATTTGACTCTGTTTGTTCCTCCTTGTTGCTCCCAGCAGGTCATGTTTTAGACGTCTCAAAAGTCGTCTCCTTGTTGCTCCCAGCAGGTTATTCATGAGAACGACGACGATGGGGAGGCAGCAGCAGTATGGGGCAGGTCGCTAGTGGTGTGGGGCAAACAAGCGTACTCCATTTCACCCCCCCTTGCTCACTCTTACTCCCTCTTATCCCCTCTCAGCAGGTCATTCAAGAGAACGACGACGATGGGGAAGCAGCAGTATGGGGCAGGCAGAGAGTGGGTGGGCTGTATGGGGCTGCTAACTCCTCTTTACTCCTTCGTACCCCTCTTGCTCACCCTTTCCCCCTCCCAGCAGGTCATTCGGGACAATGGCGATGATGGGGCGGCAGCAGCAGGGGACAGGTTGCTAGTGGGTGGGGCGAATGGGGCTGCTTATTCCTACTTACTCCCTCTTACTCCCTCTTACTCCCTCTGACCCCTCCCAGCAGGTCATTGAGGACAACGATGATGATGGCGAGGCAGCAGCAGGGAGCAGGTTGCTAGTAGGTGGGGCGAATGGCCTTCTCACTCCTTCGTACTCCTCCTTACTCATTCTTACTCCGTACTCCCTCCGTGCCTCCCTCCCAGCAGGTCATCAGGACAACGATGATGATGGGGAGGCAGCAGCAGGGGGCAGGCTGCTAGTGGGTGGGGCGAATGGGGCTGCTTACTCCTACTTACTCCCTCTTACTCCCTCTTACTCCTTAATCCTTCGTACTCCTCCTTACTCCCTCTGACCCCTCTTTGCAGGTTGTTCAAGACAATGATGATGATGGGGAGGCAGCAGCAGGGGGTAGGTAGACAGTGGTGTGGGGCAAACCTGGGTGCTCCTTGTTACCTTCCCTTACCCCCTCTTACTCCTCCTTACTCCCTCTGACCCCTCTCAGCAGGTCGTTCAAGACAATGACGACGACGGGGAGGCAGCAGCAGGCGGCAGGTTGATGCATCTGCTGCAGATTGTGGGGGCGGCCAATGTGGTGAGTGACGGGTGGACTGTTGTGGGGAGTGGAGAGGGGGTGGTGAGGAGTAAGGTGTGGTAAGGTGTGGTGAAGGGTGGTGAGGAGTGGTGGAAATTTCCAGTTTTCCAGTTGGCTGAAAGCCACCTGGTGGGGGAGGCAGCAGCAGGGGGCAGTTTGATGCATCTGCTGCAGATTTTGGGGGTGGCTGATGTGGTGAGTAGAAGTGTGGTGGGGAGTGGTGGTGAGCAGTGGTGAGGCATGGTGAGGGGTAATAAAGAGTGGCGGAGATTTCCTTCTTTTGAGCCAACGTAACAGTCCATTTGGGGGGAGGCAGCAGCAGGGGGCAGTTTGATGCATCTGCTGCAGATTTTGGGGGTGGCTAATGTAGTGAGTGAGGGGTGGTGAGGGATGGTGAGGGATGGTGGAGGATGGTGGAGTTTTTGCTGCAGATTGTGGTGGAGGCTAATGTGGTGAGTGGAAGGGTGAGAGAAGGATGGTAATTTGAGGGCTGTGACACACACACACACACATACACACACACACACACACACATGTGACACACACACACACACACACACAAACATCTCGCACACACACACTCACGTGCGCGCGCGCGCATACAGATGCAAAACAGCAAACAGCTTTTGAGGCGCCTCAAAAGTGCAAAAAAGCAAATGGCTTAACCGTTTGATGGTCTAAGTGAACATCATTTTTCTCCTTCCGTTCTGCCAGGTGGTTGTGGTTTCAAGGTGGTTCGGAGGAATTCTACTGGGTCCAGATCGGTTCAGGCACATCAACAACGCTGCGAGATCGTTATTGGTAGAGTGCGGATATGTGGAGCAGCAGCAGCAGCAGCAAAAGCAGCAGCAGTTGAAATGGAAGACTACCAAATCTAGGCGGTGATCCTGAGGTCGCCTATGAAAATCCTCTTTTGAGAAATTTCTATGGTGAGTTATCTTCCGAGAATCCTTCTTCTAAAATAAACCAGCTGATTAATTTTCTTCTGTCTGAGAATCCCCTAATGAGAGTTCTCAAAAGTGGTTCAGATGGATCAACAATGCTTGTGCGGTCGCTGCTTGTGCGGTGTGGATGGGTGTAGCAGCAGCGGAATCTGAAGCAACAACAGGAAGAGGAGAAGCAGCGAAAGCAACAGAGGCAGAAGAAACAGAAACAGCGGCATCAACGGAAGCAGCAGAAGCAGCAGATTGGAATCAGCGGCAGCAATGGGAACAGCAAAGGCAGAAGCAGCAGAAGCAGCAAAAGGAACAGGAGCAGCAGAGAAAAAAGTCATGTGAAGCCAAGAGGTGATTTCAAGCTGGTTTGGAACGGTGGTGTGCCGTGCAGTGCGGTTGCTGCTTGTGGGTTATGGATGTTTGGAGCAGGGGCCGAATGAGAAGCAGCAGAGAAGCATGACAAGCGAAGCAAAGAGATGACTAAAGGTTCAGAACGGTAGAGTATGGTGCAGCGTAGTTACTGCTTGTGGGGCTTGGGTGTATGGAGCAGCAGCAGAGGCAGAAGAAACAACAGAAGGAGCAGCAGGAGCAACAGCAGCAGAAGCAGCAGCTGCACCAGCAGCACCAGCACCCGCAGCACCGGCAGCAGCAAGAAATGCAGCATCATTGGTGCAGGTTGGAGAAACAGAGAAGCAGCAGGGGGAGCAACAGGAGCAACAGATGCAGCAAAAACAACAGCAGGAAAAGCAGTATAGTAGCAGCATTAAGGAGACTCCTGGCAAAGCTACCGTACGAGGTTTTTGTGTGTGAAGCCTGCGGACAAGAGCAGCATTAGGGAATGAAACAGCACTATGAGCTGATGCTAATGTATTCTCAAAGTAAGAATGCAACGGAATGATGAGTTAAGGAATGTGGGTGATGCAAATCGCAAACCCTAACTGAGTTGTACTCACTAAGGAGCACTTCACTACAGCCTATCACAAATATCAACATTTGACACACTCCCATAGGCTAGGTGAGGGGCATCAAAGCAAGTAGGGTGAACAAAGGGTCACAAGACCAGTCAATGCAAGAAGCAAAACAAGCTCATGGTGGATCTCAAAGACACCACACAAATTCCGAGCACAAGCAAGCGGCCACAAGGCCAGTTCAAGAGTTCACTAGGATATATAATAGCGAAGTACAACAAGTAGAGCAAGCAACAAGTCTACACCAACCGAGGACCTGCCTCAACAAGCCCTAATTGCACACAGAACCGGTGGTGATCACCAGGCGCCAAGGCCTTGGTGAAGAGGTCAGCAGTGTTGGCCTCTGACGCCACAAAGTCCAGGTGCACCTGGCCGCGTCGCTGTAGCTCGCGCAGGAGGAAGTACCAGACGTCAATGTGCTTCACCTTGGTCTCCAATCGAGGCTCGCGACACAAGAGAATCATGGCCTTGTTGTCAGCGAACAAGGTCGGAGCAGTGCGAGGTCGCTCACCAAGGTCGGCGAGCAAGAAGGTCAACCAGCGAAGCTCCTGAGCAGCCATAGCCCCGGCGTAGATCCCTGCCTCTGCACTGGACGAAGCCACCGACGACGACCGTGTGGACCTCCACGACACAGCCCCAGCTCCCAGACTGAAACAGTAACCCTGGGTCGAGCGCTGAGTCTCCACGTTGTCAGCGTAAGAAGAGTCACAGAGGCCAGTCAGCTCAACTCGCCGAGTCCCTCCAAGCATAAGCCCCATGCCTGATATAGTCGCCAGGTACTTCGCCACCCTCACGGCAGCCGTCCAGTGAACAGGACGATGCCTCCCGGGCCCAGCAAAGCAAGAGAGGACACTAAGAGGGTAGGCGAGGTCCGGGCGAGTACATGTCATTAGGTACATGAGGCAGCCAACAAGCTTTGGGTAGGGATCACTGAGCTCAAAGGGCTCGTCGGGGAAGGGGCCGGTGAGTCTGTGGTTTACAGCAAGAGGAGTGGGCTGTGTGGTGGAGTACTGAAGCCCGAACCGCTGAAGGACCTGTTGCACCATGTGTGACTGCGTCAACGTGATGGTGCGAGCGGCTCTTTACCTGGTGATCTGCAGGCCAAGGTAGCGCTGCAGTTCACCAAGGTCAGTGCACGTGTGTCTCTTCCGCAGTTCGGAATTCACCTCAGCCAAAGCTGCCCTGTCTGGTGTAGCAAAGACCAAGTCGTCGACGTAGACGAGAATAAAGAAAGGAGTGGAGCCGGCACGAACAAACAGTGACGGGTCAGCAGAGGAAGGGCGAAACCCTAGGTCACGAAGTGTGGAGCGAAGGGTGTCGTGCCACTCATGGGGCGACTGGCGGAGACCGTAATCTGGTCGCCTCAGGCTCCACTAGGTCCCACGAGGGAAAGTACCAGTGAAACCGAGAGGACGGCGTAGCCAGATCTCCTCGTGCATTCGTCCCTGGAGAAAAGCAGTGGAGAAGTCGAGAGAGTGGAGCTCGTAGCCACGCTGTGCTGCTACGTGTAGTGACTCCCGAAGTTTAGTCATCTTCGGGGTTGGAGCAAAGGTCTGAAAGAAGTCAACTCCCTCGCGCTGACTGAAGCCTCTCGCCACATAGCGCGCCTGGCACAACGGGGGTGATCTAGTCGGCCGCTTCACCTTGAAGAGCCACATGCCATCGACTACATTCGCCCGGGGAAGGGGAACTGCGTCGACGTACGTGCCTGTGGATCTCCAAGACGCCAACTCTGAGTCCATGGCCACCTTCCACTGAGAGGCCCACGGCCCTGACACTGCCTCATGGTACGTGCGAGGAGTCGGTATGTCAAGGGCGTCTGGGTCTCCCTCAGGGGAAAGCAGCATGGCAGAAAGAGTGGGAGAAGCGACTGCCAGGTACTCCAGCTCAGAGTGCCTGTCCTCTAGGACGTCTCAGCGAAGGGCAAACTCACCCCTGACGGACAGGGGACGGGTAGGCAGAGCGGGCACCACACGAGTGCTGTAGTCAAGGCGGCTGGCGGCGGCAAAGTCAGCGACAGCGGCAGTGAGAGCCGAGATAGACGACGGAGAGAAACGAGGATCGGTGACACTAGTGGCTAGAACGCGGGAGACAACAGGGCAAACAGCACGGTAGTAGTCGGAGATAGGAGTAGGGGAGACAGGAAGAGACAACGGAGGAGGAGACGGGAGAACTGATACCGGAGGAGGAGAACAACAAAGAGAGGTACAAAGAAGGGCAGTGTGGAGGTCGGTAACGGGGGACGAGGGACGACCACTCGGAGGACAAGGACGGGAAAAGTAGTGACAGACAACAGGAGGAGGAGACTGCGGTGGAGGAAAAGACCAGACTGCCGGACGAGCGTTGAGAGGAGAAAACGTAGGACCAAACGCAGGAGGAGACGGAGAGCGGACAGGAGGAGAGGAGGGATAACCAAGGGCCCGGAGGCCACTGACGGGTGGGAACATTTGCCGCTCCAGAGGGAGCTGCTGCGGCTGCGGTGGCGGCGGCGGGTGCTGCTGCTGCTGCCGCTGCTGCTCCAGCAGGTCCAACTGCCGCAACTCCTGCCGCTCCCTC